ACATGTTCGGGGTGGTTCTTCAGGGAAATCAAAGGGACACCAACCATCTTGGGCTTCTCCTCTTTTAACCCAAAGCCCATAGAGGCCTGAGTTGCTCCCTCCCCCCCCCACTAGCGCGAAGGATGGCAAGTGTCTAATCGCACCCGGCATGGACTCGTCCACATCGACCAAGGACACCAAGCCTGCACCGACACACGCGATTTTGTCTGTTTTCTTTTTCTGGCGGTTCCCGGTTAGTGGAAAATTTGCCGGTGCTCAGCAGGGAATGAGTTGGAATGTCCAAGAAAAACCATCCGCTGTGGTTTCTTTTAAGGGAAGCCCCTTCCGGTTCATTCCCAACACCCGGAAGGTCATTCCCTACTTATCGCACCAGCAAGTAAAGTGGCTCACCAGCAATGGCCCTCTTGGATTTTGAAGGTTGGCTTGGTTACCCACTGTGTATGGACACCATCCTGCACCACCAAAGAAAGCCCGGAATGATGATTTCCCCTGCAAATACGTACAAACAAAGGTCTCCCATGGTTTCCAAGCGGTGCTGGATTTGGTCCATCCACAGTACTATACAGGTCTCTCTCTCTCTCTCTGTCTCTCTCTCTCTCACATGAACATCCAGTTGCCACCTATTTTGATGTTCACCAGGGGTTTCCTAGGTTTTGACCCACAGCCACATGGCCTCCCCACATCTCTAGATCTCTGGGCCTGGATGGTTGCCAAGAACCTGGAGGATATTTATCTCCTCGTGAATGCGATTCAAGCCTCAGCTGGAAGAAATCCGCTGCGCGCCGCTCAGAGCAACTGACAGTGTGGCTCAAAGAAATCTGCTGCGCACCACGTGGGAGAAACGAAACCCTGCAAAGAATGGGGATAAACCACCTATCAACTGGTGCCGGATTCTGTCCACAGGTTTCTGGCTGGTTCTCAGGGAATGGGCAAAAGAGCCCCTATAGAACATTCCTTGTGGCTTCCTTTAAGCGATCCCACATGTTTCATTGCCACCGCGGGTGATTCCTTACTGACCAACAAGATTGCAGTGGTCACGGGCCCCATATCTGATTGTTCACATCCATTGCAAGGATTCCTACCAAGACCACAACCACTTTTGTAAGGGTTCCTTTTGTGGGCCTTTTGTGGCGGGCTCTCTTCGATAAATCTTGCTGGTGCTCAGGGATGGAACTTCCGCGTCTTGGGCATGAACCGTTTGGGGCATTCCCTGGGGAAATATATATATATATATATGTATATATATATATATGTATGTATATATATATATATTATATAGGAGGATGGTCTTGCTTGGGGTCATTCCAACCCATTCCCCGCTGACCTGCGCCCTAGCTGGGACAGGGGCTGGCCATGTCCCCCACGCGCGTGTTGATGACCTGGGCATTGCATGCCAGTGATTTTTTTTATGCTCCCGGTGGATCCATCGGATCTGGATCTGGTTGTCCAAATGGCTCCCCGCCCGTTAAAAAACCAAACAGGCAAATAGCTGGTTGCCTGCATTGGTAGCTGGGATCCACTGGGCCTACATGCCAAATCGCAGGTGCTCAGTCTATGAAAGGCGAACTCACACAATCGGTCATCATTCAGTCTCTCAATCAGTGAGCCGTTCGGACACCCAATCCCTAGTCAGTATCACTCGGTCATTTGCTCACAAGTCACTGTTCTTTGCAAACTCCTTGCCCGTCCTGTCTGCGGTGATTTTTTACCACTAGATGGCCATAACAAAGCTCTACACAAGGGTTCAATGTTTTGACTGTTGCAAGGTTCCTTGAAATTTAGGGGTGTCATTGTTGGCAAGTCAAGCACCCCCTGGGTCTAGGTCTACCTTGCTCAAACCATGGTTGAACCCTTCCTCTTTCTGCCGTTTCGATGTATATATATATATATATGAAGAAGAAAAACAAGACAAAAAATAAGGAAAACAAAAACCGAGTCCCCGGCTTTGAGCGCGAACTTCTTCTCTGGCTGATTCCGGCGGTTGCACATGTGCACCACCGCAAACTTCCCGGTGCCAATGGCATGGCTCTCATCCACCTCGCTCTCGCGTTGTTTCGCTCGCGCGCGTGCGCGAGGGGGGGGAGTGGCATTGCTGGTGCGGGTAGGGAATGAGAAGTGCAATGGAGCCATTTTGGGGATTCCCGAAAGGAAACCGCCTGGACGGTGTATAAGGGTCATTCCATTTCTCATTCCCTGCTTATCGCACCAGCAAGTCTTGCTTTGTCAGCTCGGCAGACTTTGGGTTGGGCTGGGGGTTCTCATACTTCAGTTTAAAAGGGATGCCTGGCACCACTTCTCGGTTGCCCCCTTTCCCAGTCCACGGGTCGAGTCCACCCTTCGGGCTCAAAACGCCGAGGGATGTGAGTGGAAGGAATCCACACAGACCGCGCCTGGGGCGCCCAACTGGGCTCCAACTTTCAGCCCAACCGGAACTTGCCGATTTGTCACCAGCAAACAGGGAATGTCTTCAGGGGCATCAACTCGACTTTTTTGAGAATTACAAGTTGATTGCCTGAATTTCATGCCGGTTTCCTTGACTAATGTTGACCCCGGATTAATAAACCCCTGTTTATTAATATGGGGGTGTCCCCGGTTTTGGTGGGGATTCATTACTTTTGGAGGGGAACACCCCCATATGACTAAACAGGGGTTGATTCATCCGGGGTCAACATTATAGCCCAAAGACGGCGACGTGTCACACCCTCGTGGTGCCGACCCCACAGCATGCCTCGTAGACGCAGTCAAAGTCCTCGCCCTCGTAGAGGTCAGTGAGCGGACATAGCGCCGAGACTTTGTTTCCCATTTCCTCAGAACCGCGCGATGCCGACGCAAAGCGCACATAAGTCGTAATCAAAACCCGGTATCAAAATTTGTGTACCCAGAACCATGTAAACAATTAAGCTATTTATGGCAAGGGGATTGTCACGGATTGTCCCTTACTAGCCTTCATCTACCCGAATCGGTTTTGAGCACGTGGCTCAAATGTCGACCGCTAGCCGCGGCGTGTCCGAACGCGTCAGCCGCATCGACCCGTTTCGCCGCGGCGGGTGCGGCAAGCCGGGGGCTCGGAAGAACGAAGGATCTGCTCAAAGGCTCTCCCTTCCTGCCGGCTTGGATCGTTGTCTTACCCCTTAAAACTCCAAGCCCTGGGGAAGTTAATCTTTTACAGATATATCCCATGTTACCCAAAAAGTTGAAAAGTTGTGTTTTTAAGAGGTAAGTTGTTGGACCCTCAAACTAATTACGCATTAAACAATAAGCTCAGGTGATATCCCCAGCAGCATGCAGTGCTTTCTTGTGTGCACGCACCACCCCGCAGCCCTCGCAGAACCTCGTGGAAGTCTCGTGGAACCCTGGTGAAACCCTCGTGGAACCTTCCCTCAGCGCTGCCCCGGACGCCGGGGCCTAGCTGGGCTGAGACCCCAAAGCTTTCAGCTGTTGGGGAATAACAAACACATTCGCCAACCATACTGTGGATGGACGAAATCCATTTCGCACCATCTAAGAAACCCGTAAATGAGGATTTCCCTGTAAAATACCAAAAAGCAGTGGTCTCCCATGGTTTCTCAGGCGGTGCAGGATTTCGTCCATCCACAGTATGTTTAGGGCTATATAACCCATGTTTGAGGGAATTTCGCGGGTTCAGGTGGTTGATCCCTGCTCTTCACCCACCCGTGTCGAGCGCGGGATGCTTCTTGGAGCATCTGGGGCGCCGGCCGCAGAGCTCACCAGAAAAAAGAAAAAATCAATTGGAGCCGTGCAGCTGCGATGCGAATGTGTTTTGCACCAAACAGCACCCGAAAGCCTCCACTGCCATGGCACCTAACACATGGGCTCGTCCTTTTTTGAGTATTGGTACCCCTTGTTTGGTTTTAAAGGAAAGCCAAAAGGAAAACCACAATTTGCGGGGGTCCCCCCCCAAAAAGAAGTCCCACCCACATTGCAAATCAATCTTCCAACATGCGATGGCAAGTCTGGAGCTGTTGTGACTCCTCCATTTTGATGGGTCGCAAAATCGGGGGAGCCAAAAAATGGATGGCCTTTCTTTGGGTTTCCCATGGAAACCAAGTTCAAGGTACCGAGTTGCCCAAAAGCTGGTCTTTGGCCCCAATGCTTCACAGGGTTCCCGACAAATTGCCGTAAACAAATATCACAAGTTCGCTTTGGGCCAAAAGGAGCTCAGAACCACAAGGAAGCTCATTGCTTAATTGGCCCAAAGGATGTTCAAAACCTTAAAAAAGGAAGTGTGAAAAAAGGACACCTGCTTCAACAGCAAGCTGGTGGCTTTCATTCTGAACTCACATCCAAGCAGTCATTTTTCCTCAGACATTTGAGTGCCAGACAGGAGCAAACGCTCCTCGTGGCTTGCAGAACAAACGGAAGCACATCTATCACCAATTTGGCTGTGCACCCTTGTTCACCTTGGTTTTAAGTGAAACTAAAAGGAAAACACAGGTCTTTTTGGGGGGGCGGGGAGGTCCGTCATTTTCGACATACGCCCATTTGAGTGTAGGGGGTCCATCCAGGCCAAAGTAGCTTCATGAATCCTCTGGGACACATCCTTCGATGCTCCCCTTTCTGCAGCCACAATTCGGCACTTCCCCCGCACCTTTGGCCACTCACATGCTTGCCACTTTGTGGCGGCAGGCCAAATTTTTAAGCCCAAGCCCCAAGCATGTGAGCTCTGGAGGTGTTCGAAGCTCACATAGAAATCCCACAGGGATCCTCCACGCAACCAACTTGTCCAAAACAAGTAGCGTTGCGCTGCAGCCGAAAACGGCTTCGCCATCCTTGATCTCACAAGGACTTCCTTGCAAAATTCCGCGAGCGCGAAATCATGCCAAAGAAAAGCCACCGAACGACGAGTTTTGTCCTCGTCTCTGCAAACTGAAAACACTTGAGCGGCGCCCCAAACCCATCGACGTTGGATTCTACTAAAATGGTTGTCAATTGTATAGGCCGTAATATACTCCAAACAAAACCAGGTAGTGGAATATTTCTCCGAATTGGCCAACAGGGGTCTTGGACACTCACTTTGAACATCCCTCAGCTGATGTCGACCGTGTCTTCGACGCTCCGGATGATTGCCTGGACATGGCGGGTGACGGGTCTCGGTCCATTGAAGTGACATGCTCAAAATAAAAACCTCGGCATGGGTGTTTCTCAACATAAGTTTGAGAACCCCCCCAAATCAAAATGATTTGGAGAGCCCCGGAAAATGTTCACTTGAAGGGACTAGGATACACAAGTGCTTCATGCCGATCAGGACTGCAATGGATACTCACCCTGGCATCCGAGCGGAGTCCAGCACGACCATTTGTTGTGACTCACCGCTCAAAGTTTCCTGCGAGGAGAGGGCACCCTTTTCAGGTTGGCTTGGACGAAAATCACAGGAACTTGGCTGTTGTTGTTGACCCCTCTGCAAAAAGCTTAACTTTTTTGTGGGCCCTTTTTCGGAGAATCCACCAAGTCTCAACCAACAAGTTCTAAGTTATGAAGTCCAAAGCTCCGTTTCCAAAGAGGCCAAAACTCGGAAGCCCCCACCTTGCGAGGGGTTTCCCCATTTGACACATGGCTATGATGGTCAAACCCCCGTACCCCCAGTGAACATCCCAATCCCCACTAAAATAGGTTCTAAAATGGGTGGTGAATTCACCTACCCCAAAATGGGACCCCATTGGGGTTGACCCACGGCCACATCCATGCCCCGACAAGCCAACCACTGGGCCGTTGGCCGTTGCTTCCATTTGGTTAAGACCCCTGGAAAAAAAGTAAAAAACAATAAAACAAATGTCCAGTAGTGATAAATTCCTTTTGAAAAGAACATAAGCTCAGGTGATATCCCCAACAGCATGCGGTGAACCTCGTGGAACCCTCGTGGAACCCTGGTGGAACCCTCGTGGAACCTTACCTCAGGGCCGCCCCGGACCACCCCGGAGCCTATCTGGGCTGAGACCTCAATGCTTGCAGCTGTTGGGGAACAAGGGAAAAACAATGATATTACTCATAATAATACAACACTATGTCCAGTAGTGATACATTCCTTAAAAAAAAAATAACAGGGGAAACATAATAATAATAATAATAATAATAATAATAATAATAATAATAATAATAATACTAATAATAATAATAATAAATAATAATGACAATGATAATAAGTCTTAAGCAAATGGAAGGTTGCCGCCTTCCTGAGCCTCCGGCCACCACTTCCGGCGCCGCACCTTCGCCCAGCCCGGTCAGGGCATGGGCTGCCGCTCGCCGGACCTGACCGAAAGCGGGGGGTCCCAAAGCGGACGTAACGCCCGGGGGATCGATGCATCTAACCGGGCGGAGACGTGGGTAACCACGCATTTTTGGGGGGTTTCTCTCGGTTTGGGCCGGGAGAAAAGCCCAGGCAACCAAGTAGAAACACTTGCGAAAGGGGAAAAGTGGGTACCCTCCCTCTAACATGGCACCTGAAAGGGACCCGGTCCCTTCAAGTCTTCCAGGGACCTCCCCACAGGTGCCAAGTTAGTGGGGGGAAGGGCAACCACTCAACTTGGGTTTGGGTCAAGTACAAAAGTGGATGGTGACAAACTCCCAGAAGGCAATCAAGTAGAAACACTCGAAAGTCATATCCAAACAGGGACTGAATGGGGTAAATGGGTGATTTGTTTGAGGGGCAATTCTGCTTGTCATACTGTGGATGGTTGCAAAATCGCTGAAATTCACCACGAAATGAGTTACCATGGGAATGAAACCATAAGGTTTGTTGGCGATTGCAAGAGAATCTCATCAGAAATCGGGACTTCGGTGGTGCAGGAGTTTCTCCATCCACATGTCGTAAGTCAACCCTTGCCCTCATTTACCCCTTGCTCCTAGTATCTTGGTTGACGTTGGAAGGGGAGCAACAATTTAAATTTTAGCTGTTAAGTGGGGATTTCCCACTAAACCACAATAAGCAAAAATGTAAAATGTTTCCCAACAACGACCATGCTTGCTCCTAGTATGGTCCCGGGGGTTGGTGCAACGGGTCCCGTGGAACCTTCCAGGGCTCCATGCATGTCTCAGGCTTGTCCAAGCAGGCTTGCCGCTCGAAACAAAGAGCACGAGGTTTGTCATGTTTTTGGTGTCATCGGTCCATCCCTGGTGAAACCCGAAGAGTTCGCCCCAGACCTGCTGGTGTTTCCGTGGGGCTTTCCCCGGCTTTCGTTTCCGGCTTCGAATCCATCTACTGGCTTTCTGAAGGTAACGGTTGGGCCCCCATTCCATGTTTAAGAACCTGTCCTTTCTCGGGCGCTTGCAAAAAGGGCTCCCTGAAAAGAATTCCAATTCACACAAAGGCGCACTGATGATGTTTGGCTATGCACCGCACTTTCGCTGGAGCCTTTGGTGGACATAGAATCATGCTTGGACTTCTCATGCCACTTTGAGGATCCCACCAGAACAAGCCATCACATTCGTGTTTGAATACATTTTACACTGACTCAAACAAAGCCGACACCCTATGTTCGCCAAGACCCTAGGCGGGCTTGACATGTCTTGACGACGCAGGGGCCACCAAAAACAAATGTGTCCTCTCTTGGACACTTTCTTCGCGCCTCCAAGTCTGAGTCGCCGAGTGCCAGCACCAACTCATGAAGAGAGCCACAAGCAGACCTGTGCTCAGCTGTTCTAAATCCGGGAAAAAGAAGAACAAAAACAGCAAGGGCAATTCTACAGGACAGCAACTTGTTTTTGGTGGGCGTTTGGAAAAACACTATAGACAATTTAGCTCGCTAGTTTTTATAAGGTCGGCCGATCCCAATCCGTAATCCCAAAGCGAATCATCCTGTCTGTGTTGAGAGCAACTGTTGGAAGTACTATGTAAAGGAAATCCAAGGGGCACCAGCCTATTTGGGATTTCCCTTGCTCGAGAATAGCTCATTCGGACTTTGCAAACCCTGTGCGCTAGCCCAAAATCGTGCTTTTGTTGGAGCACCCCCCCAACTATTAAAGACAAGCAGAAAT